GCCACATAAACTACACAAAATGACATCAAGTGAAACAAAAAAAACTACAAATGGGGATAAGAAATAAACCCTTATCAGGAGTTTTTTTTAATTTATTCCTTATGTAGGCATTAAATCAAAAAATATTTATACAGCTTTAAAGAGCAATAATTGAGCTTTCCGACAGATATATTAACATCGAATTTGGAGAACATCCTGAAAGTTATGAATGATTGAAAGGGTGTTGTGTTCCACCAAGATAATGCTAGACCCCACACCTCATTGGTCACTCGCAATAACTTACTGATTCTTGAATGGGACATTATGCCCAACCCCAACCTCTATTCACCAGACCTAGCTCCAAGTGAGTACCACTTATTCCGGTCTCTGCAGAACTTCATGAATGAAAAGAAATTCCAAAAGGAAGAGGACATCAAAAACCACTTACCTCAGTTTCTTAACAATAAACTCCAGACATTATATGAACATGGCATTCTGCAGTTAATGGAAAGATGGGAAAAAGTCATATTAAATAATAATCAATATATTGTATATTAAAATAAATTTTATGTCTATAATACATTGAGTTTTATTTCATCCTGAAAAACCGGAAGGACTTATTTGCCAACCCAAAATTAAGTTACCTCCTTCTGATTGACCTATTTACCTTATTGAACCTCAATCCATTCTGCCTGAATTAAAAACAATATCTCTGTTAACAGCTGAAAAATCTAATGATTTGCCTGGAAAGTACTTGAGCCTAGTTGCAAAGGATTTTCGCTTTTATTTTAAAATTTATTAAACATTGCAGAAATCGGAAGCAAGGTGTTTTGGCTGTTGAAGCCTTGACTGCTGATGAGTTAGAGGATTCAATAATTATTTATATCAAACTTATTCAGAGGAAATTCATCACTGAATTAATTGATTGCCTTAATAGTGGCAACCCATATAAGGGTTTCTTAAACAGGCTCACACCATTTTTGTATAAGGACAGAGCTCTCAGGATGGTTGTTCGATTGAAGTATTCTTCAATTGATGAGAAAAGTAAGCACCACCCACTCCTGATACCTAAATATTCACATTTAGCAGTCCTTTTGTATGACCATTACCACAGGTGACCATTCCTTGCATGGTGGGCCCCTGTTGGTCCAGTCGCTGACTCATTGCAAATTTTAGATCTCCTCTTTGAAAAGACTCATTAGAAGCCAGATTTATAAATGCGTTACATGCCACAAAAATAATGCGATGCCACGTGCACTGAAAATGAGTGACTTAACCAACTTTCAGGGTGATCGAGGGTCGATACTTTCAGCCAATTGGAATAGACTATTGCAATCCCTTCATTATGAAGATTTCCAGTAAGCGCAATGCTCCTAAGTCAAAATGTTGGTTTGCTCTCTTCATATGTATGTCTATCAAGGCCATCCATCTAGAACTTGTGACTGACCTATCTATTCTATTCTAGCCACATTAGACAGATTTATTGCCAGACATGGTTTACCTTCTTATATTTATAGTGACTGTGAAACAAATTTTGTTGGAGCATCCAAGAAGTTGATAGTAGCTTTATCAATTTGTTAAGGGCCAAAACCCATTTCTAACCATCTAAGTCGGACGGCTATAAAGTGGACTTTTACTCCTCATGATCTATTAAATCCGCTAAGAGGCACCTTCTTGCCGTTCTCCAGGGTCATGCATTAACATATGAGGAATATACTCTACTGGTACGAGTTGAGGCTGTTCTCAATTCCCGTTCTATCTATAATATTAGCAATCAGCCTTCGGATAATCTTGATGACCTCACCCCGTGGCTCTTTCTTATAGGTCAACCTCTCTCCTAATAATTTTTTAGAACCTTTTTTCATGATTTTTGGAAGAGATAGTATAATGAGTACCTCCACAATCTAGTGCCTTTGAACAAGTGGTATATTGACAGAGAAAATTTGGAAGTGGGAAACCCTTTTCATCCTACATGAAAATGATGTTCCACTTCAGGAGTGGCAGCTGGCCAGGATAATAGACATTTCCAGGGCCTGATGGTGTAGTTAAGGTGGTTGCTAAAATTGATGACTGCTACAGCCACTTAGGTGCAACCTGTGCACAAGTTAGTGCCTTTCCCTTCAGGAGAAACCTTTTATTGATATATTTATTTTTTCTCTTTCTTTAAATTTAATGAAGTGCCTTTTTTATTTTAAATTAGATGTAATTTATTATTCTATCTTTGATCTGGCTCACTTTTATTTCTATTTTTTTCACTTTGTTTATTGTAAACCAAGTAATTTTTCTCTCGTTTGTGCCATACCTAATAATTACCACCTATGAGTTTGGTTTTATATTTTTTTGTTTGGAATTGAGATATTTCACGGTGGGGGATATGTTTTGTGTAACTAATTTTGTACCTGAACGCCGCCTTGTGGTGAGTTCTGAAAACTTCTGATAAGAGTTGAGCTTCTTAATCTACGAGGCTCTCTCGCCCCACTTGAGGCCAAGCTTTTGAGAAGAGAGGAACTAAGACCAGACTGGAGGGCGCCCTCACAGCTGAGATATCTATGCCAGCATAAAAGGGTGAGTTTTACTTGACATAGATTATATAACCTACCACATTCAATAAAAATACAGTCTACTACCAAAATAATGTTGAATGTTGCGTATGTTGAACTCATTAGAGTTATTTGCCCTATTTTATTAAATTAGAAAGTTGCCTTAACATCAAGGTTTAAGCTTGGTCTCCCATTTAACGAAATTTCATTTTCGGTTTTATGGGGATTGTTTGTTATTAGATTACTTACAGTGGTAGGATAAGAAGTAATATTTTTATATTCTGTACATGTACTATCTTCACTGAACCTTGATTTAATAGGCTAAGATTGCCAAGCCCTTTTAGGAGGGACTCACTCGATTTGCCTGTTTTTAAATCTGAAAACAAATAATTATTTTTAAAATTTGTTGTCTTATTAATTAAAGCTGATTTAAAGGATTTTCCTGTGATCAATTCTTTTGCTTCGATTAAGGTTATATTTTCATTGAGCATTAGATTTCTTATTGAGCGCTGCTTAACAAATTGTGGACATTGCTCATAACCTATCAATGGGTGATTTTGATCACAATGAACGCCTTTATTTAAATTTTCTGGAGGGCAGTTCTCCACTTTATAACCTTTACCTCATTTACTGCAAGCTAAAGAATTCTTACAATTTTTCTCTATGTGACTCCAACGTAGATAATTATAAGATTAAATTGTACGTGGTACAAAAGGGTCCATTCTACAAATGACTTTATGAATTGATAGACATTTTGAGAGCTCTTGGCCTCTAATAGTTATCACTACGGATTTTGTATGCACTCTAGAAACGCTTTTATCACTTTTTGCATTAATTTTTTACAGATACTTAACAAATATTTTGCTGATGATTAATCGTTTCAATATTATGTTGAAGTTTTTCATCGGATATATCTTTATATACTCCTCTCACGATACCTTTTTTTTTTTACAATAAATCTAGGGGCATAAACTTTCAGATTCTCAGTTTTATTACTAATTTCTGAAATTAGTGAATTTGTGCTATCTTGATCTCTGTTCGATTTTTGAAAAGATCGCTTTCAAAACTTATTGGATAAAGTTTTCCAATATTACACCCCTCAACAACAGATTTAACGAATATATATAATGGACCTGAATAAAAATTATTGTATTTGAGCAGTATAAATGCCTTGACTTGCGATGAGCCAGTATCATTCGACACAATATCTTTCATATCAACAAGATTATCCTCCCCAGATTTATCTGGAGGGATATTTCGAGTATCCTCATCCTCGGGCATGCTTTTAATTTATGTTAAAACAAATATAGGAAATTAAATAGAAATAATATTCTTATCTGTGACAACTGAAACTGTGTTGGCTAAGGCTTGAGGCATTAAAATGCTTCGAACTCGATTTTATCGTTCTCAAGCAAATCCTGTGTAAAGATCATATAGGAATATTAAACAAATATTCGTAACTTACCTTAAAAATAAATACAACCAATGGGATAAGTTTATTGTGGAATTTCAATTCGCCCTTTATTCCGTCCGTCAAGATACTACTAGATTTTTTTCCAGCATTCCTTCAATTCGGAAGGGAATCGCAGCTGGGAAATACTTTTAAGAGATTACTTGAAGATGAACAATATACTCAGATGGAGATCCCAAAAGACGCACCTACTCGCTAGAGTGCCCGTTAGAGGAAATTTAAAGAAATACACTATTTAGTTGAAGTCTATTTTCATGTTATGAAAAATGCTGAGCAGTGTAATAGGTATAACTTAAGTAGTCTAGAAGTGACATTTAAAATGGGAGATTTAATACTAAAACGTACATTTTAGTAGTATTACTTGTATGTTAATATTCTGGCATTCCAAAATATAAGTAAGTACTAGCCTTACTTAAGGCTTATATAGGAAGATCTTAGTGGCTCGGGATGCTACTCTGCTTTTGAAATACCTAATTTTTCCATGTTAGCGGAGGCAATTTAACTCTCAATCTTCTGTGCAATGTCATTCTGGGGATTGACTAGAGAACCTAAATAAAAAAATTCCTCCACTCTCTCTAAGGAAAACTTCCAAATGTATGTATGGTTCTCTTCCAGAAGGGGCTGTAGTCATGTATTTTGTTTTTACCACATTGATAAGTATTAATGCCTTAACTAATTATTTAAATTTTTTCAGGTGTATAAATAGAAAAGTCAATTTAAATAAAACCAAATAATCTTGAAGATAATGGTTGTGATTCGGATGAAAAAATAAATAAATAAATTTCTTATTGTTTAAATACTGACCAATGTTATGATCTACTTTTTATACCTTCTTCAGGGCAAAAAGACTAGTCAGGTCCTAATAGTTAAAGCTTATGAACTAGTTACATCAGCTACTTTTCTTTCCTTATTTTAGAAGTTTTTATTGTAGCTTGGATTCTCCTTAGATACTTTTTGTGCCCAACTTACTTTGTTTTCAATTTCATTATAATTTTTCTTCAATTTTATAGGAGGGGAAAAAATGGTGGAGGTCATTGACGTGGAGGAACAGGATTATTGTGTAATATCATTTTCAGCCATGATAAAATATATAAAAGCAACCAAAAGATCTAGGGTTCTGAATCTAATAAGCCTGGAGTGCTCGGATACGAGGTATTTTTATATAATATTTTTAAATATTCATTTAATATGTATTAATTTTTATTTAGATATTTCATCATTATCCTTCCTGCTCTCATAGAGGTAATGTAGTTTTAATTAACTCTGCTAAAATATAATGGTTTGCTACAATACACAACACACTAGTGGATGATCTACTTTATAAGCAAAAAGTGATAGTCTGTTAACCAGACCCCACTATCGTGCACCTTCCTCCCTCTCCCCCCACATCCCTATAATAAATTTCATATCGTTGTGTTCCTTGTAACTATTTATTTTAAAAAAGCCAATGTTTCCACAGATAAAAAGTGATTGCACTGCACCAAAATTGATGACTGAGAATTCAGCATTTTTCCTAATGTCCTCATAGTTGGTCTTTTATTAAGGCTGGATAGTTGGACAATAATAAACCATGAAAAAATATTAAAAAATAATTGGCTTAGGCAATAAAAAACACCAGTAAAGTCAACTTTTTTAGCAAAAATATTTTTAAGTTGAAAATCAAGCTTCGTTTGTAATTAAACGCCCAACAATAACAGAAAACTTGGTGAAATAAAACATCTGGAGAGTATATTTCTCTTTCCACAACACTGATTACTTTTTAAAATATTCGAAGCAGTTCTGTATAAAATGCACTTAAGCGGCAGAAAAGCGGTATTGGCGAAGGTGCCTACACGCCTCTACCACCCCATTTAGTACTCATAAATGGCTTAGTTATAGTGCTATAATAACGTTTTTTGTACATTATATTGATTGTATTAATGAACAAATATTAATGCAATAATTTAATTATCCAAAAAAATTAATCAATTTTTTAAAATTTATTATTTTATTTTATTTTTTAATTCAACTTCCTTAATTTTATACGGAGGTCATTTAAGAAGGTCTCTATTGTAAAAATTATATAATTATAATAATAAAATAATTGAATAGGGATGGATCACTAGCGGATCCATTGGAGGGGCGCACATCCTCCTCTCCCCTCCCTCCCCTGGAAGGTGAGAAAAAATTGGTCTTAAACAAAGTAACTAAACCAATGGCACTTTTATTATTATTTTAATTGAAAAATGAATAGTATTAAATAATTAATGTTTATTTATACTTTGTACTAAAGAAAGAACGACTAGTGTAAAAAATCTGAATATTCTTCGTCTTCTTTTTTGTGGTTCCCTCTAGATGGCTATGTCGGGAAGTAAAAATATAAAATTAGTGGTCCTTCAGACTTCCGAACAGCTTGGTCCCAAGATCTGTGGGTTGGGGTCCCATATCTGCCTCCGCAAGTCCTCCACCAACTGGCAGCTTTGCAGAATTTTATTCGGTTTGTTCATTTTGGCCACATTCACACAGGAGACTGGGTCCTATCTTGAACTTCCTGAAGAGGTGTGATTTCAAAACGTTATGTTCAGTTCTGAGACGAAAAATTATGACCTGTTTTTTTCTGGTTAGCTTGGGGATTGTGATTAGGTGACTTTTTTTCCTCCAACCTAGGTAGGCTGCTAATTTGGGGAGGCAGTGTTCCTTCCTTTGCCTATCAATCTGCAATTTCATTCCCCATAACCCCACAGTGCCCTGGAATCCATTGTTTAACCACCTTTGGGTACTGCATTCTTAAATCTTCCAGTTCCTCAGCCAATGTTCCCAGAAAAGTCTTCTATTTATTTTTTAGGCATTCAAGAATGGATGCTGCATCTGTCCAGGAATACAATGCATGACAGCGGACATCTCTTATGGAGTCATGCTCAGCTCTATAATTTGTTAAGATGATTCCAGTAGGGAGAGCTTTTTGGAGAATGTGTCCATCAGGGAATTCAGTATGGATGCCTCCTCCTCTGTTTATAATGGCATTTGCAGCCGATCCATCTGTATATATCCTCATCCATTTATTCTTACTATAGGCCGAGTTAAGGTGCTCTAGAGTGCAGGCTTTGGCTACCAGAGTGTCAAGGTCACTTTTCTTTGTTATGCCTGGGATTTGTATTGATTTTTGGTCTAATCCATTGTGTCTAAGGCAGGAAGTCTTCAGAGAGCTTTACAGCTTCTGCTTTAATATTACTTTGGAGGTGCTTATCAATTAGTTGAGCAGTTTTATGAAGAGGACTTTCACACTTTATCCGTGTGTGATTTCTCTTTCCATCTCTTATCTTTTAGGGGAGGGTTTGGAATACAGTCTGCTTTTATTCTTATGCTAAGAAGTTTAATGTCTCTCCTATCTCCTATTTTTTTGAGGCCAGTGAGAGTTTCCATTGCTTTAATGGGTGTGGACTTAAGACCTCCAGTTACAATTATAAGCCCTTGGTTCTGGACAGCTGTGATTTTTTGAAAGTTGAGTGTGCTGCCATTCCCCAACTTGTGATTTCATATTCTATCAAGGTCTTATGTATCCAGTGTATAGGATTTTGAGAGTAATGTGATCAGCCCCTCTCTCCCCCCAATTCGATCCTGCCACCTTCCTCAATAGTGCTGTTCGGTTTACTGCCTTAACACATCTGTCTATTTGACTCATCCAAGTGAGTCTTTTTTTCAACTTTTACTCCTAGATATGCCTAGAAGTCATCCTTTGTGAGGCACTGGTTGCCTAATTTCAGATTAAGCGTATCCGGAATACTTGTGGACAGACTGAAGATCATGTAGTGTGTCTTATTAGTATTTATTTTGAGTGCCCATTTTTCCGTCCATGAAAAGAGTGCATCCAGTGCAGTTTGGATTCTGTATTTGGCAGCTATTATTGAAGTGGATTTACACCTAATTGCTATGTGTCTGCATAAACTCTGATAGTTTTACATTTTTAGCCATTTCTTTTTTAATATCATTTACATAAATCAAAAATAGAGTTGGTGGTAGAACACCGCCTTGTGGAACCCCATTCTTTGTTGAATGGACTGTACTTTTTAACTCTATGGAGTGATCCCTAGCTTTTCATTGTTGCAGATAGATTATGAGCCAGATCATGGCCTTACCTGTTATACCCATATTTGCATCCTTTAAGATTAGACCTTCTGTCCAGACCTTGTCAAATGCCTTCTCCATGTCCACCCATACAGCCAGAGTGTGCTTCTGCTCTTGAAATCCTGCTTCCATGGATCTGAATTTTCGGAAACCTGTTTGCTTTGGCATGAGAAGATTGTTTTTTTCCAGCATCCATATGATCCGGTTATTAACTAGTCTCTTCAGAAACTTGCCTAAGCAACTTAGAAGCTTAATTGGTCTAAAGCTATCTAGATCATTTTTAACTTTTCCTACTTTTTTTATTGGAATCACAGCTCCTTCTTTTCAAGTACTGGGTATTATGCCCTCTTTCCAGTTGGTATTTATGGGTGTCTAATAGGACCATCACAACTATCATTTATTGTTATTTTATAAGCAACCTGCAGCTAAGAAGGCTCTTCACTGATATAAAGGTCATAAGGGGGGTAGAACTGAGCACAGACCACAAACTGCTTATAGTGGATACAAAAATAACTCCACCAAGAAAGAGATTCAGCAAATCATATGATAGGATTGATGATAGCAAGTGGAAAATGGAAAATAAACAAGAAGAATACCGGTCACTGCTCAAAAGTTACCTTTGTAGCGGCACCAGATTCCCGTTCTTGCTACAGGGGACAACTAGTTTGCCTACCCTCTACCAGGCAGAGCCATACCAGCTCGCCCGGCAATGTACCAAAAAATTCTATTTTTATTTCTTATTATTATATGATAAAAACACTCAAATTGTAAATGGAAATATGTATACACATTGAAAATGCTTTTTATCAATAAAGTTTAATGGCGATAACATATACTGATCAAAGCTTAAAAATAACTGTAATTGTAACGGCTCTTGATAGCAGATTTAGTCTTGGCAGAATGAATACTGCAGCCATATTTCAAGTTGTTAGGTCTTCGGATCTTTCCCCCTTCAGGGTGTAGACCTATATTCAGTTGGTCAATGTATGTATCACATACTCCTTTTAGTCTTCAACGAATTGCTTTTTATTTCACAATATCCAAAAACCTTTTTCCTCTTATCTTACTCCATGCAAGTTGGATGCTGATCCGTCCGCTTGTAGTCCTATATACTAAGTCAGGAGATTGATCCCTCCGTTAGTATTTCATCCTCCTATAAGTCCGAAGACTGATCCCTCTGGTTGTGGTTTCCATCCTTGCTGAGTGTTAAGCTTGATCTCTTACACCGCAGACCAAGAGTGATTGGGTGCTGATCCACCTGTCACTTAAGGTCATCCTTTTATTCATCTTCCTTCATCCACTCAGTCATCTTTACCCTCTATAATGAACATGCACTGTCGAGGCCTTTTGGTAACTGTTAGCCTCTGAACTATACCTCGACACCTCCAAGAAGTTAACGGGAAGTGTTGTGGCCAGGGGTATTTCAAAATTAAAATACAAACCTTTCCCCGGTGAGTTTCCTAAAAGGTGGGGAAAATACGAGTAAAATTAAAAATAAAGCGAAAGAAGCAAAGAAATGATTAATAAATGAGACCTGTAAAAGAAGAAAAAAAAATGCACATCACAATTTTTAAAAATAAAAATATTCATTAAAACAATAATGGAAAATAAAAGATCCCCCTTTTTTAAATGTTCACAATATTTATTATATTCAATAAAAATAGATGAAAATATATATACAAATGTCGAAAACAAAACAAAATGAAAAAAATTAAAATGCACTGAAGTAAAACCAAACATAAAATATAATATTCAGTGAAAATAAAAACAAATTAACAATTATTAATAAAACAATAATGAAATCAACTTCTAAAACTGTAGATCAGTAATAAGAAAAAGACATTAACTAAAATACAATTTAATGTCTAGAAAAGCTTTTAAAATAAACTAATTTAGCCTGGGAAAAAATTGAAGTAATTTAATGTCTTTCATTAGTTAAGTAAAAAATTTGGAGGTCATACAAAGGCTAAATTTCAACACAGATCACAGGATGTTAAGAGCAAAGTTACATATCAAAAAGTATAAAAAAAGAAGACCATTTAGGGCAA